AAACGGTAGGAGATTCACCACAACTCGTCCCACAGATCATTACTGACCACAAGGATGTTATACAAAATTTTTCGGAAACACAAGAAAACAAGTGTTAAGACAACCAGGCTACCGACATTATTTGTTATTAATGTTTCTGCTGAGTAACAAAAAGCAGAGATTATCGTGATATATCGGATGAATGTAGTGATGATGGCAGTGATGAAGGCAACAGATATATTCCTGCACATTACTATCAATAAAGGAGGTTTTTGCTGCCGACGTTCATGTTTACGACATAATAAAAACAACAGATGGCCTAAAAGATAACACTGGATGATAATGTAAAGAAATAAATCAAGTTTATTTTTTTCTGATGATTTTATGAAGTGACTTGTTAGGACGTTCTGACTCGAATGATATACCGTATAATTATATTTTTTTAAATGTAATGCTCATACCTCTTTCTTCAAATCATAATGTATTCATCGAAAAATATCAGAGACAGAGAGACAGACCGACAAACAGATAGACAGACAAACAGACAGACAGAGACAAACAGACAGCCAGACAGACAGACAGACAAAGACAGAAACAAACAGATAACTCACCTGAACATATACATACATACCACCAATATTTGTCAAGATAGACTGTAGGTGGGTCTGATTTGATCACTCCTGCTCGGGTGGTTGGATCTCATTGTCTCGTGTTGATGTGTAGGTGTGGAGGAGGAGTAGGAGGGGGAGGGTATAGGTGTAGAGGATGTGGATGGTAGTGGATGAGGATAGTGTGGACAGGAGTAGGTGTGATTTGGTGAGATGTGGGTGTAATAAATCTATGGAGTTAGGTTAGGTTAGGTTATTATTACACTGTTGAATGAAAAGTGGAAGTCAGTTGTTCACAAAGTTATATATGAGTATCTGGTTTCTAAATTAATGTCACTGATTTGTACTGAGAGAAATTTACTGACAGATTTACAAGTATTGGCTGGACCCCATAGTCATATTCAAAAGGTTTAATCAGAACTATTAGTACGGTAATGAGGCAAAGTTAAGGTCAAGCATTTTTCACCTGCCGACACTGATATTATACATGGGGCAGTTGTATTAACATATTAAGAGGGAAAAGACGTGGCTAAAGCTTATTAAATATGATGGCAATAGTATAGCAGCATAATTAGGAGTACAGAATTTAGTAGATTTTGTAGCTACATGACATCTCAACAACGAGGTAAAGATTAAAATATAAGAGCTTGAATGCAAAAAATTGTCGTTGATTGTGATGATTTGATGTGATGTGAGGTCTGGATCAATAGCACAACATTATTACAAACATGGTGATTTGATGTGATGTGAGGTCTGGATCAATAGCACAACATTATTACAAACATGGTCACACACACACACACACACACACACACACACACACACACACACACACACACACACACACACACACACACACACACACACACACACACACACAGGCGCACACTTTAAAATACATAAAACACGTTGCATTATAGTCTTCCTGTTCTCATGTAACGAGTGATCTTGGTGGTGGCTAGTGCGAGGTCTTCTCACCCGTGGACCTCCCAGGACCTCTCACTGGGAAGTCGATCATTTCCTAGAACTATTCCTGTCGTCCGGAGGCACCCGCCTCTCTCTCTTTCTCTCTCCCTTTCTCTCTCTCTCACTCTCTGGCTTTTGTATTTTTATTTTTGTGTCGCTCGTTTCTGATTTTTTTGTAACCTCGATGTTAGTTTCTGTTGTTCAGAGGTTTCTGGTTATACATCAATAACATTGGTCTCTTTCTCTGGGTCTGTCTCTCAAACATGATAACGTTTAGTTTGCACCTTCTAGGTTTTCTCGTTTATTCTTACACCTTCACTCTGTTTTCTTCTCCCTGGGCTGAGGTTGGTGTGCGTGTGGTGTGTGGTGTGGGAGGAGTCACCCTGATACACTGCGGTCTCTCAGGTGATACAAGATCTCGTCTGGTCTGAAGAGGTGAGAGAAAGTTCGTTGAGTTCTGAGAGAGACGAAGAAAGTAACATGCACTATATATATATATATATATATATATATATATATATATATATATATATATATATATATATATATATATATATATATATATATATATATATGGTTTGTGTACTGTCCCTGTAAGTGAATACGATCCACATAGGATAACCTGGTGTAAGTAAATCCAGCCTATTCTCATTCACTTCTCTGAGTGGAAAAAGGAAGAAGAAAGAATCACGAGTGAAAAAAGTTTGATAACTAGTTCCTGAGATTTCAGAAGGGAGGGTCAGGCACCTGGGGACGGCCAAAGGGAAAACTCATTAAAGTTTAGGAGCTTTAAGTCGATCGTCCTGCTCTGGGAGTGAGAGAGTAGATCAGGTTGGCCAGGTGAGCGGGGAATGAGAGAGGGAGTAGATCAGGTTGGCCAGGAAGCTGGGAGTGAGTGAGAGAGTAGATCAGGTTGGCCAGGTGAGCTGGGAGGGAGAGAGGGAGTAGATCAGGTTGGCCAGGAAGCTGGGAGTGAGTGAGAGAGTAGATCAGGTTGGCCAGGTGAGCTGGGAGTGAGAAAGTGGATGAAGGTGGCTAAACGGTTATATAGAGAGTGGTTAAATGTGGGCAGGTGTGCTGAAAGATATAACTGATTAATATATAGCCAGTTGGGCCAGGAGAGAGGAGAGGAAGGGGTAGGTGTCACACATTTGCGTTGGCTTAAGACACGAGTGCATTTGTAACTCCTCAAGATACTGGTTCACTGCTCATACCTTAAGACACACCTTCTATTTTAATGCCTTAAGACGTGGGTTTGATTCTGACCTTCCCGACGAGGGTTCGTTATGATTTCTCATGAAGAGGGTTCATGTCTGATAACATTAGATTCAAGATTTATTTGACTCCTGAAAATAAGGGTTCGATTCTGTTACCTGCCTATCTCACGGTGAAGGTTTGACTGTTATTTCACAAGGCGGGTCTAATTTTCAAAGATAATGGTGTGAAATTGATTCTGATATATACACAAAATTATCCGTTTACCATTAGCATAGCCAGTGTAAACCTGGCTACAGCTGGGTAGCACCACTGATTAATTATGCTGATCCACACACTGGCCCTGGCAGAAGGACGTCCGTGGCTGAGTGATCTCTTCGTGCCACTTCTTGTTTCCCTCTTTATTCGCCTAAGTATTTCCAAAAGTTCTCTGTATATCACTATGCATTATTTATTAGTTATCGTTAGTGGCGACCGTACTATAATGATGAATTGTTGTTAAACAATTAATAAGTCTTAAAAGATAAATGATTGTGAAGGATATTTCAGTCACTCGTTATAAACGAGTATACAACATGTTTAAGTAATGCAGACGTCTTTATGATTACGGTACAACAAGTAAGCCCCTTTCTTTGGCTCCTTTACCTAGTAACACGGCTGACTAGAAATAACTTTGGTGTGTTATTGAGTGGTTGGTGGAGTGGGGTGGTGGATGGCAATTTAAGGAGCGAGTTGTCGTACTATTCAGATTTTTTTATCAGAGTTAAAAATGACAACGGAATAAAGAGCTCGGCATCCCAAAGATATATTATTCTTTATTTTTCTGTTGATGGTCGAAGTTGATAGCCAAACCTAGACATCAGCAGCGTAGAGTGAATGAAGGCTCAGTTGAACTATGTGAAAATTCTAGTTCACCAGTCAATCAGTCAGTCAGTCAGGGAAGACGTTCACTGAGTTTACTTACCGTATGTAACCAAAAATATACAAGTTGTGTGTCTTGCTCCTTCATAGGTACCATTTAGAAGACATGGCCACCACTGCCGACCTTCCACCATACCCAAGACATGGCCAACACTGCCGACCCTCCCACTATTTAGAAGACATGGCCACCACTGCCGACCCCTCCCACCATACCCAAGACATGGCCAACACTGCCGACCCCTCCCACCTATTTAGAAGACATGGCCACCACTGCCGACCCCTCCCACCATACCTAAGACATGACCACTGCCGACCCCCCACCATACCCAAGACATGGCCACCACTGCCACCCTCCCACTATTTGAAGACATGCACCACTGCCGACCCTCCCACCACACCAAGACATGGCCAACACTGCAGACCCCTCCCACCATTTAGAAGACATGGCCACCACTGCCGACCCCCTCCCTACTCATACCCAAGACATGGCCACCACTGCCGACCTCCCACCATACCAAGACATGGCCACTCACTGCCGACCCCTCCCACCATACCCAAGACATACACACTGCCGAGCCCTCCCACCATACCCAAGACATGGCTAACATCGCCGACCTCCCACCATACCCAAGACATGGCCACCACTGCCGATCCCTCCCACCATACCCAAGACATGGCCAACACTGCCGACCCCTCCCACTATTTAGAAGACATGGCCAACACTGCCGACCCTCCCACTATTTAGAAGACATGGCCACACTGCCGACCCCTCCCACTATACCCAAGACATGGCCACCACTGCCGATCCCTCCCACCATACCAAGACATGGCCACCACTGCCGACCCTCCCACCATACCCAAGACATGGCCACCACTGCCGATCCCTCCCACCATACCCAAGACATGGCCACCACTGCCGACCCCTCCCACTATTTAGAAGACATGGCCACCACTGCCGACCCTCCCACTATGAAGACATGGCCACCACTGCCGATCCTCCCACTATACCCAAGACATGGCCACCACTGCCGATCCTCCCACTATACCCAAGACATGGCCAACACTGCCGACCTCCCACTATAGAAGACATGGCCACCACTGCCGACCCCTCCACTATTTGAAGACATGCCCACTGCTGACCCCTCCCACCATACCAAGACATGGCCAACACTGCCGACCCTCCCACTATTTGAAGACATGGCCACCACTGCCGACCTCCCACTATACCCAAGACATGGCCACCACTGCCGACCCTCCACCATTTAGAAGACATGGCCACCACTGCCGACCCCTCCCACCCATACCCAAGACATGGCCAACACTGCCGACCCCTCCCACTATTTAGAAGACATGGCCACCACTGCCGACCCTCCCACCATACCCAAGACATGGCCAACACTGCCGACCTCCCACTATACCCAAGACATGCCACCACGCCGACCCTCCCACTATACCCAAGACATGGCCAACACTGCCGACCCCTCCCACTATACCAAGACATGGCCACACTGCCGACCTCCCACCATGTTCCAAGACATGGCCACTACTGCCGACCCCTCCCACTATTTAGAAGACATGGCCACACTGCCGACCCTCCCACCATACCCAAGACATACAACACCGCCGACCTCCCACTATTTAGAAGACATGGCTACCACTGCCGACCTCCCACTATACCCAAGACATGGCCACCACTGCCGATCCCTCCCACCATACTCACACGGTTACACCACTGCCGACTCCCCACCATACCCAAGACATGGCCACCACTGCCGACCCTCCCACCATACCCAAGACATGGCCACCACTGCCGACCCTCCCACCATACCCAAGACATGGCCACCACTGCCGATCCTCCCACCATACCCAAGATGGCCACCACGCCGACCCTCCCACCATTTAGAAGACATGGCTACCACTGCCGATCCTCCCACCATACCGAAGACATACACCATCGCCGACCCCTCCCACCATACCCAGACATGGCCACCACTGCCGATCCCTCCCACCATACCCAAGACATGGCCACCACTGCTGACCCTCCCACCATGCCCAAGACATGGCCAACACTGCCGACCCTCCCACTATTTGAGACATGGCCACCACTGCCAGGCCCTCCACTATACCCAAGACATGGCCACCACTGTGAGCCCTCCCTATTTAGAGACATGCCACCACTGTGACCCCTCCACCATGCCCAAACAGGCAACACTGCCTAGCCCCTCCCACTATTTAGAGACATGGCCACCACTGTGGACCTCCCACCATGCCAAGACATGGCCAACACTACCCCCACTATACCCAAGACATGCCACCACTGTGGGCCCTCACTATACCCAAGACATGGCCACCACTGAGGACCCTCCCTGTACCCAAGACATGGACCACCTGATCACCACCATACCCAACATGCCACTGCCAGCCCTCCCACTAATTGAGACATGGCCACCACGAGCCCTCCACATCCCAAGACATGGCCAACACTAGAGCCCTCCCACTATTTAAGACATGGTACCAAGGGCCCTCCCACTATACCCAAGACATGGCCATCACTGGGAGCCCTCCCACCATACCCAAAACACCACACTAGACCCTCCCCATGCCAAGACATGGCCACCACGCGACCCTCCCACTATTTAAACATCCACCACTGCCTCCCCTCCCACCATCCCAAGACATGGCAACCAACCCACTCACCATGCCCACATGACCCTCACTGCGACCCTCCCACCATACCAAGACATGTGCACTGACCTCTCCCACCATTCCAAGACATGGCCACCACAAGACCCCTCCACCACCATACCCACATGGCCACCACTGCCGACCCCTCCCACCATACCCAAGACATGGCCACCACTGCCGACCCTCCCACCACACCCAAGACATGGCCAACACTGCCGACCCTTCCCACCATACCCAAGACAGGCCACCCCTGCCGACTCCTCCTACCATACCCAAGACATGGCCACCAGTGCCCACTCCTCCCACCGTACCTAAGACATGGCCACCACTGCCCACTCCTCCCACCATACCCAAGATATGGTTACTGCCCACTCCACATGGCAACCACCGACCATTCCACATATCCACCAACGCTAATTCCACAAGGCCACCACCTCCTACTCTACATGGCCACCATCGATCACTTAGGAAGGCCACCACCAACACTCCTCCACACACCACCCACCAATACCCAGAACATGGCCACCACCCCCACAGGATTTCCTCCCAAATTCTCATCAGCGTCACCATCGACCCCATTTGTGTGTGTGGGATCAAGACCACAGCATCCCACACACGCCTCTAAGAGTCATCCACCATCTCTCTTCTCCACCACTCACGCTCTTGACGCCCTCTCAGGATTAACACTATAATGCCATCCACTGCAAAATTTCAGTCAAGTTTCATAAACATCCACGAGTGACAAGGAGACAATTTACTGGGAGTGGCGACGGTGAGGGGCTGGGAGGTGGTACGACTTGAATACGTCTTTGGTACGTGGTGTGACCGAGATGTGGTTCAGGTGGGACAAGATTGTAGCATGGAGGGAGGGAGGGAGGAGGAGGGTTGTGGTAATGGGTGGAGTAAGTCTAGCAGGGGGTGGCGGGTGATTGTGGAATGAATGGAACAGATCAATAGCAAGGGATGAGGCGGATCTGTGATATAAATGGGTCAGGGCTGTGGTATAGGCAGGGAAGGGCTGTAGTATGGGCAGGGTAGGGTTGTGGTAATGGGCAGGAGGCAAGGGGTTGTAGTGTATGGGCAGGGGCTGTGGTATGGGCAAGATAGGGGCTGTCTTATGGGTGAGGACTGGTATGGGCGTGGGGCTGTGTTATGGAGTGGGGCGGTGGTATGGGCAAAATGGGGCTGTGGTATGGGCAGGGGGTGGGGTTGTGGTATGTGGGGTTATGGTATTGGGCAGGGGAGGCTGTGTGTATGGGCAGAGTAAGGCTGTTTATGGGCAGGGTGGGCATGTGGTATGGGTGGGGGTAATGGGGCTGTGTTATGGGCAAGGTGAGACGGTGGTATGGGCAGGTAGGGCGGTGGTATGGGCAGGGGGGGGCTGTGGTATGGGCAGGTTTGGGCTGTGGTATGGGCAAGGTGGGGCTGTGGTATGGGCAGGGGTGGGGGCTGTGTGTATGGGCAGGGTAGGGTTGTGGTATGGGCACAGTGGGGCTGTGTTATGGAGCGGGGAAGGCTGTGGTATGGGCAGGGTGGGGCTGTGTATGGGCAGAGGTGTAGTATGGGGAGTGGGGCTGTGTATGGGCAGGGGAGGGGTTGTGGTATGGGCAGGGGTAGGGTTGTGGTATGGGCAAGGTAGGGTGTTGGTATGGCAGGGGTGGGGCTGTGGTATGGGCAGGGATGGGGTTGTGGTATGGGCAGGGTGGGGTTGTGGTATGGGCAAGGTGGGGTGGTGGTTAAGACGGGATGAGGGCTGTGCTATGGGCAGAGATGGGGTTGTGGTATGGGCAGGAGTGAGGGCTGTGGTATGGGCAGAGTAGGGCAGTGGGATGGGCAGCGTAGAGCTGTTGTATGGGCGGGGTAGGGCTGTGGTATGGGCAGTGTGGGGCTGTGGTATGGGCAGGGTAGGGGCTGTGGTATGGAAGAGTGGGCGGTGGTATGGAACAGAGAGAGACTGTGGTATGGGCAGAGGTGGGGCTGTGTAATGGGGTTGTGGTATGGGGCACAGTGGGGGCTGTGTTATGGGCGGGAGTGGAGCTGTGGTATGGGCAGGAGTAGGGCTGTGGTATGGGCAGAGTGGGGTTGTGGTATGGGCAAGGTAGGGTAGTGGTATGGGCAGAGGTAGGTTGTGGTATGGGCAGGGTAGGGGCTGTCGTATGGGCAAGGTGGGGCGGTGGGGTAGGGCATGGGGCTGTTGTTATGGGCAGGGAGTATGGCTGTGGTATGGGCAGAGTGGGGCGGTGGCATGGGCAGGGTGGGGCTGTGGTAGGGCAAAGGTGGGGCGGTGGTATGGGTGGAGGGTAAAGCTGTGGTATGGGCAGAGACAGGGAGCTGTGGTATGGGCAGGGTGGGCTGTGGTATGGGCAGAGTAGGGGCAGAGGTGGGGCTGGTATGGGCAGTGGGGCTGTGGTATGTGGGGTGGGGAGGTGTTTATGGGCAGCGTAGGGCGGTGGTATGGGCAAGTGGGGCGGTGGTATGGGCAGGGTAGAGCTGTGGTGATGGGGCAGGGAAGGGCTGTGGTATGGGCAGGGTGGGGCTGTGGTATGGGCATGGTGGGGCTGTATGTGGGGTGGGGCTGTGGTATGGGCAAGGTTGTGGTGATGGGCAGGGGCTGTGGAATGGGCAGGAGTGGGGCTGTGTTATGGGCAGGTAGGGCAGTGGTATCAGCAAGGTAGGGCATGTTATGGGCAAGGTAGGGCAGTGGTTTGGGCAGGGAGGGTTGTGTGTATGGGCAGGGGTAGGGTTGTGGTATGGGCAGGATAGGGGTTGTGGTGTAAGCAAAGGTAGGGCGGTGGTATGGGCAGGAGTAGGGCTGTGTTATGGGCAAGGATATGGTTATGGTATGGGCAGGAGTGGGGCTGCAGTATGGGCAGGAGTAGGGCTGTGGTATGGGCAGGTGGGGCGGTGTTATGGGTAGAATTAAAGCTGTGGTATGGGCAGAGATGGAGGGCTGTGGTAGGGGGCAGGGAGTAGGGCTGTGGTGTGGGCAGGGAGTGGGGCTGTGGTAAGGGGCAGGGGAGTGGGGCTGTGGTATGGGCAGGGAGTGGGGCTGTGGTATGGGAAGAGGTGGGGCTGTGTGTATGGGCAGGGAGTGGGGCTGTTGTATAGGCAGGGTGGGGCTGTGTTATGGGCAGGGTAGGGGTTGTGGTACGAGCAGGGGTGGGGAGGTGCTTGGGCAGGGAAAGGGCTGTGGTAGGGGCAGGGGTGAGAACTGTGGTATGGGCAGGGGTATGGCTGTGGTAAGGGCAGGGCAGGGCTGTGGTATGGGCAGGAGTAGGGCTGTGTTATGGGCAGGGGTTGGGTGGTGGTAAGAGCAGGATAGGGCGGTGGTATAGGCAGGGAGTAGGGGTGTGGTTTGTCAGGAGGTAGAGGCTGTAGTATGGGCAGGTTAGGGCTCTGGTATTGGCAGGGTAGAACTGTGGTATGGGCAGGGGTATGGCTGTGGTAAGGGCAGGGCAGGGCTGGGGTATGGGCAGGGTGGGGCTGTGTTATGGGCAGGTGGGGCTGTGTGTATGGGCAGGGTAGGGCTGTGAGGGGCAGGGTGGGGCTGGTATGGGCAGGTGGGGCTGTGGTAGGGGCAGGGAGTGGGGCTGTGGTATTGGCAGGGAGTGGGGCTGTGGTATGGGCAGGGTGGGGCTGTGGTATGGGCAGAGGTGGGGCTGTTGTATAGGCAGGGGTAGGGCTGTGTTATGGGCAGGAGTAGGGTTGTGGTAGAGCAGGGTAGGGCGGTGGTATAGGCAGGGAGTAGGGGCTGTGTTATGGGCAAGGTAGGGCGGTGGTATGGGAAGAGGGAGGGCTGTGGTCATGGGCAGGTTAGGACTGTGGTATTGTCAGGGCAGGGCTGTGGTATGGGCAGGAGTAGAGTTGTGGTATGGGCAGGGTAAGGCTGTGGTAAGAGCAGGGTAGGACGGTGGTATGGGCAGGAGTAAGCTGTGATATGGTCAAAGGTGGGGCTGTGGTAAGAGCAGGGTAGGGAGGTGGCATAGGCAGGATGGGGCTGTGGTATGGGCAGGGTAGAACTGTGGTATGGGCAGGGGTATGAGCTGGTAAAGAGCAGGACAGAGCTGTGGTATGGGCAGAGTGGGGCTGTGGTAAAAGCAGGGTAGGGCTGTGGTATTGTCAGGGTAGGAGGCTGTGGAATGGGCAGGGTAAAGGCTGTGGTATGGGCAGGTTATGGCTGTGGTATTGTCAGGGCAGGGCTGTGTGGGCAGATGGGGTTTTGGTATGGGCAGGGTAGGGGCTGTGGTAAGAGCAGGGTAGGGCGGTGGTATGGGCAGAATGCTGTGGTATGGGCAAGGTAGGGCTGTGTTATAGGTAGGGAGTGGGGTTGTGGTATGGGCAGGATAGGGCTCTGGTATGGGCAGTGTAAGGGCTTTGGTATGGGCAGGGGTAGGGCTGTGGTATGGGCAGAGGGTAGGGCGGTATGGGCAGGAGTGGGGCTGTGGTATGGGCAAGGTGGGATGGGCAATGTGGGCAGTGGTATGCACAGGGTAGGGCTTTGGTATGGGCAGGATAGGGCTGTGGTATGGGCAAGGTAGGGCGGTGGTATGGGTAGGAGTAAAGCTGTGGTGTGTGTGGGTAGGGTAGGGCTGTGGTAGGGGACAGGGGTAGGGCTGTGGTATGGGCAGGGTAGGGCTGTGGTAGGGGCAGGAGTAGGGCTGTGGTATTGGCAGGGGTAGGGACTGTGGTATGGGCAGGGAAGGGCTGTGGTATGGGCAGGGTAGGGCTGTTGTATGGGCAGGGTGGGGCTGTGTTATGGGCAGGTAGGGTTGTGGTAAGAGCAGGGTAGGGCGGTGGTATAG